CAAGAACCCAAGCAACATGGAAAAGACCTTCGCTGATTGCTCCGCCTTTAAAAGACCAAGCTTCAGGTTCATGGAATGATTTAACACACTTTTTGTTTAGAAAACAATGTATTTATTTTCCAATTATGCCATCCAGACTGAAATTTTGAATTTTATGCGATATGTCGCTTGAACATGAAGGCCAAAACCCGCAATGCTTTACGAACAAGCTAATATTATCTCTGTTATCCATAGTGAGTCACATGCCATGGCTTTTTGTTAACCAGGTTACGATTCCTTTCCCTATGGTGATCGCTACCTCTCTCCTTCATTTACGTCCTCCTATAACTTCCGATGACCGACTTCGTCAATGGAGTTGTTGAACCTAGGACTACCACAAGTGACATACTACAACTGTGCCATCAAATCCAACGTCTGAGTCTTAGCGAGGTTAACCTGATGGCCGAAGTCGGAATGGTCTTTTAAGCTACGACAGCGAAATTCAAAAAAGTTTATTTACAGAACACTTCAACGGAAACTGAAAAAGGTGATACGGTCGAATATGCTGGAACGCAGATAAGCGAGCGCATACCTTTCGAGGTATTATGTGAACAGCGACGGAGGCTCATGGTAAAATACGTATAAAATCTACGTTTGCATTTTCTGAACAAACTCAGATGGTTTCAGAAAGAATTCCTCATTGCCTACACAAAGGAAATCGAAACGGAAAAGCAAATGCCTAAAAAGGTATGGCATATGTAAGTGATGACAAGAATGAAAAGGAAAAAGAACCTTATGTTTCAAGGAAATGCCGGATTGGGTCACTACTTTTGAGATAGGAGAGGTGAACACTCCTGACAAGGAGATTAGGCAACTAATGGTAAGTCAAGGAGATGCCTGTTGTTGTTCTGGCTTGAAAACACTCTTTTGCTAACTATTTAGTGCAAATGGTTGCTCAGACGGGGTGGTGCAGATGCCATCCCATCTAAAGAAAAGGCAAAAGAACCGTCTAAGGAGGGATCCAAAGAGCTATCCAAAGAGCGGTCTAAAGAGCCTTCTAAAGAGCCATCCAAGGAAAGACAATCCAGAGAGGTAAGTGGTTCATGTTCCAGAATTTAAATGATAAAAGTTCAGGGTTAGGGAGAAAGGAAGTATAATAGCTAGTTGAGTACAGGAATTACTCGACTGATTTATTCCACGCAATTAGTGACTTCTGCTGCCTTCTGAGGGTGACCAGCGATTGTAGCACACCCATTTGCTATCCTGACACCGTTGCACTTCGTAGTCGCACATTCGCAAGCATTTTTGACGCTGGCCCCACTAAACAAAAAATCCTCGGTTTTTTTTGAGCCGCATCCAAAACCTACGTAAGGCCAATTGTCGAGTAACGGTACTCACTTAGTATCTCCCCATATAAGAGATCTGTAATCTTTAGAAAGTGTTCATACGAGCAAACTTGACCACGTAAACCGCTCTCGTTTGCTTTCAGAATGAGTTACCCTCCTAATGGGGAAGTAGCGCCGTCAGCTAACCATTACCATTCCATGGCAACAGGAAAATTGGTTAATGAAATCTAGTGTGTGCCTTTACAAATTCCTGACAGAGCGAAGCAGCCTTTTACTCCAGCAGCTCTTCTTCACTTTTGCTAGGTCTAGAACAAGGTGGTATGCGCTATCAACAAATACAGGTCCCTGTAATCAGAATTACAGATCAGAGCAAATAGATTGTTCCCTGCAAATGTGGACCACATCTTGACGAAGTTTTTGCATGAGCGCCTAGGTTGCGCTGTTCCCTTGGGTCGTTCCGAAGTAAAGGAGTTAAGGCGGCCAATGCAGAGGTTTCTTGATTTAGCGATTGATCGTTCAGGCTAGTTTTTATCATTTTATCATAGCTGTCTACATTATGTTGACTTTTATGTATCTTTATGTCGACTCGCGTCACTCAGTAATCTTTTGTTGTGATTTTGGCTTTCTTTCTTTGTGTTACTGGTTGAATCTCAGGCAGTTACATCTGCGTCGACAAGTAAATAATAGTATCCTCGCACCGTTAGCACAACCCCCATCAACCTATCAATACCGCCAGCAGCTTCACTCACGCGAGCACCACCATCGTGCCTGAGCTTTGCAACTGACTTACTGACCACTTTTTGAGAACTGGCGTTGATTAACGCAGCGATCAGATAAAGTCTGGCAGCCGAGAATTAAAAGGACAGCCTTAGGTAATGAGTCAACGTTCTAGCAGTCAAAACTATAAGGACAGCTTGGTAATAGTCAACTTCTGCATGGATACGCCGCGTATTTGACTCTCATTCGAAATCTTCGTGGGGTTATACACAAAGTGGATTGTGCGGATCCAGCATTGTATAACACAAACGACACACATACAGCATTTCAATGCTCCTGAACATGTTTGGTGCTGAAAAATCTTGCCCAGGGTTGGAGAGTGTGACTGGTTTGGGAAGGACTGGATCCTGAATTGGATCCATGGGATATGTGAGAGCAACACTTGCTACTGCTTCGTTTGTTCTGCCTTCATATAGTTACATATTGGAAACTACTAAATTCGTGTGTTTGGCCTTGTCCTTAGCTCGAGCTTCAAGCTCCCACAATTTCTAAAGATATCTAAAGAAAGTGAGCCTGCTCCTAGAGCTCCTAACATTTCACTGTAGTTGGGAACTATTGAATTTGCTGCCAACGTGATAGAGAGTAAGACTGTAGAACTGTATACATTTATCAGTTGCACCACATTAGAGTCTCATTCAATAACGACACTTCTTCTTGCATTCCTTCATCGTCTTGAAACGATTTCTGTTGCCTCTGCAACCGCTATAGGTGAACCTTACACATCTCCTTTGTCTCATGGAGAAGCCGTATCTGAAATAACTAACTTGCTCATCTCTACGGTGCTGTGAACAAGTTGAGAAGCTCCAATCGCAATGACAGAAACCAAACTCCCTCAAAATGGGTCGCTTGGAAAGTTTCCGTCGATGTTTTTAGATCAATTTTGAAAGCCATTTCTGAACTTATAAACTGTATCGCTGTCCCGTGCCACAAAACCTTGCGGTGATCATTTGAATTACGAGTCCTTTGCCAGGTGGTACCGATAACTGCGGCCTTACCTTGTAATTCTGTCCCTGCAGTATCCTCTCCTCAACGGCTCTCTGCAGATAGCGTCCAGTGAGAAGGCTAAACTAGACAAATGGGTTGAGTTATTTTCGGCTTACTACCGAATTGCACTTTGCAGTGGTCATACCCAAGTAAATGGGTGGCTTTAGAAGAACTGAAACTACCATAGCAAACTCTTACCAGTATTCATCAAAACCAGGAGAATGAATAGTAGTAGTAATTTCATTGTGGTGCTGGAACAATCACTCCGTTATCTGAAAGACTCGAATAGATGTGTCGTTATTGGACAACGTGGTAACCCATACGTGCTGCATACCGCTACTGCGTATTGGTTATAGCCATTCAGACAGACTCCCATTCAGTACTACTATATAATCACGGATGATATGAATACCCCTACTTTCTGTCATAGAGCGGGAAATGCCGGTACGAAGATAGGATAGGGGAAGAGCGGTGTCTTCCGAATCTCTCATTCTTTGTCACCCAGTCTCGATAGGGCTGGGCGCCCGCAGCGATCGTTGGCGTATTGCAGTAAACTGCTGCAGCAAAGATGAGGAATTCATAAAAGCTTATCAGTTTTATTTTCTTATGATTCAGATAGTTTCTAATAGCTTTCTGAACGTGTCTAATGGAAATTTCACGCTGCAGAGTCACACCTTCGTGAAGTTTGTTCAGTTCAATAGGGCTCATTGAAATGGCGTGATTTAAAAGTTTGACCAATTTTCATGACATCAGTGCATCAGTGCAACTTACAAGGGAGGTCGTTCAGGGTGTGCCAAGCTTTTTCAAAACGGTTTTTTGCATGATATAGGGGCACATGCGGGGACCACAGAACCATGGTTCATTTTTCCTGAACGGCCCTCTGAATACCAGAAAAGGTTAGTTCGATTCCTCGTGGTGACAAATTTTTGCATTCGAGTTGACGTTCAAAATTCGCGCAAAATGGAGTTAACATGAATAATTCGTATAATGACCTTCAGTAACGCCTGTAACAAATAGGCATCATATTGTGAACTGAAAAAGTGGTGAAAAAGGTGTGACTAGGGACCCCCTTTTCTGGTATTCAGAGAGCCGTTCAGGAAAAATAACCATGGTTCTGTGGTTCCCGCATGTGCCCCTATATCATGCAAAAGACCGTTTTGAAAAAGCTTGGCACACCCTGAACGACCTCCCTTGTTTAGACCATTACAGTGAGGTAATCAGAAATGCACCAGAAATTTAAAAATCTGTATTCAAGAAGATGAGTGGATGATCAAAGACCTAATAGTGCAATGCGATTTCATGTGCGTGCATTTTTTATAAAAAAGTTATTCGCGACAGTGCTGAAGGTCCAAGTGCTAGCTGTAATCAAATTTTCACCACATAGCTTCAAAACAGCATTTACTAAGTACAGAGCGAACTGAAAATTTGCATTGAAGAATACAGTTTTGGAAGGTCACCGACGAGGAAATAGAGGGGCAAAAGTATTTTAAAAAAGTCGTTGCCCGTATTCTTCTGTTGCCTGAATTTTGACATAATTTGGCAAAATGGAAATAAGGGGGGGTTTGTCTAAGGTTATTTCACAGCAAAGTAATCAGTACTTTTAAGAATTTTTTCATACTTCATTATTCCAGTACTATATATTGTACTCGCAGAGGTGCGAGGGAGCGAGTTCAGGGAGTATTCCTCCATAATATTAGAGTCAGTATGTACACATGAAATGACGAAATTCTTCTTTGGAAGAACCTAATGTACCATGTGCAGCACTCGGTAGGCAACGGGTCGAAGTTTTGAACTTTTTTGTAGAACATTCTTCTTGTACAAGTATTAGTCGCACTTTAAGGTAGCAATTGATCCGTTGAGAATAATAGTGATGACTTAGAGCAAGAGCCGTTATCTTCATTATTCAGGACAAGCTTATCCTTGAGAATGTCAGTGGAAAACCTGCGCTGCTGGATGTAGTTCAGGAAATCACCGAGAAAAAGTACCTGGAACAATTAGATGAGGGCGTGCTGAAAATCCACTGCTCTAGAACTAGAATTGTTGTTCTCAAAATCGGTCAGAAAAGAAAGATGTTTGTGGAGCACAGGAATGGATCCGAGAGGTTCAACGGTTGACCGCCATCGGGATAGAATTTCAGAATGATCAGAAAGCATTTTCATAACAAAGCTTTTGAATGGTTCTCTCCCTATAAATATTGGAGGAGTGCAGCCGAGATCACCGCACCTAAAAACATTGTTTATAATTGAAGGATGAATTTCCTCGCTGAAAGGATCAAACTTGGCAAACCTGCATAACTTTTTTGAAATAACCCGTATCGGGTTTTGGAATGGTGGCCTCGTGATGTAAGTGCACACTAAAGCATACGTCGAACCAGTTTGTTAAAGACCAAACGAGAGCCATCAATCACTGCATCATATTCGAACAATACTGCATAATCTATATCTGACCCTCTTAAATCCACGCGGCCTAAGGCTGCTTTAGATCATAAATCTGTATGTGGGTGAATGCTGAAGGTTGTGGATATAGCTGATAGCCTTTAAACGCATGACATCGATTATTTGCCAGCAGCATAAAATTGACTGGCCTATTTTTCTCCTAGGATGGGGCAATTGCTATTTGGCAAAATACAAGGCGTCCCAAAATTACTTGCGCCTATTTATTGCAATGACTTTCAAACTTCTGGACACAGAATGACAATTGAATCTAAACATAATTATACTAACATCATATACAACAACATGCAACAACCAGATTTCAAAATGTCCTTCACGTAGCACTCATAGAAGTGCCCAAGTTCATGAACTGACCCACTCTCCGCCTTCGCCATGAAAATTCGCTCCGGACCTTATGGCTGCATAAGGCCTTCGCAGATTTAGGACAGGCCTTTTAACTGCGTCAATTTTTCTGGCCGAAATACATATCGTCGTGCCTTAGTCTGAACGCCTCTCACCTGTTCCTGTCTTTGGCCTCAGCATTATCTTCTGTTTTCTCGCTCTCATCTCTCATTGTCTTAGCTCAGCTGCATTTCGAGGAGTGTAGCTAAGCTCTAAATTAGTGGCGTATATTCTCCAGATACTTTTCTTTACTACTTGGCGGGTCCGGGCTTCGATGTGTCGTTCTTAACATTAACCGTCGTGTTTCGTTATAATGCCAGGATATATACACGCAGATCCTTCACAAATAATTAATCCTACTGTACTGATATAAGCGCCTTCGTCTGGTCGGTTCTTTGTTCTGGTCGTTCTGGAGTGTCTTCACGAAATTTCCCTAGCTCCTCGGGATCCGCCTGGAGGGACCGGGTCAAGTGTGGGATGGGTGGGCAGGGTCTCACGTAATACAAAACACACATCAGCTAAGCGGAGCCCCGCCCACAGAGGGCGTGGCGTGCGTCGAAATGAATTGTACCAAAGACCAAGATTTCGATTTCAGTGAAAAAACGACCTCGAAACTGGGCCAAAAAGTGGGCTAAGGTGTGCATTGGTAAGTAACATCGAATTAGGGAGACCCACCCCCGGTGGGCGGGGCGTTCTCTAAAAAAGCAGTGCTTTATGAAAAATTTCATAACTCGGTTGGGAGAAAGCCTACAGAGCAGAAAACAATTCGGTGTAAGGGAGCAATGTCTAAGGTGTTTCCCATACATGACGTGGGCGGAGGCCTGCCCAGAATGGGCGGGGCGCGCTCTGAAGTGTACAGCATTTTCTACAAGCCCTCATAATTCGGGTCGGGGAAGTCCTAAAGAGCCGGAAAAAGGTGGATAGAGGTGTATGGAGGAGTGGAGGCCAGCTGTCAATGGTGGGCGGGGCTTGACCAAAGTGGGCGGAGTTTGCGACGAAAATTTATAACTCGGCTCCATGAAGCTCCGGAGGCTGGGGAAAAGGTGGATAGAGGTGGGTGGAGGAGTGGAGGTTAATTGTCATTGGTGGGCGGGGCCTGACCAAAGTGGGCGGAGTTTGCGACGAAAATTTATAACTCGGCTCCATGAAGCTCCGGAGGCTGGGGAAAAAGGTGGATGGAGGTGGGTGGGGAGAGTGGAGGTTAATTGCGAGTAGCGGTGGCGTGTTTGTGCGCCTCTGACCAAAGTGGCCGGAGTTTGCGGACGAAAAATATAAAACTTGTCTTGGGTCTCGGGAACTCCCAAGAGTCCCGGAGGCTGGGGAAAAGGCTGATGGAGGTGGTGTAGAGTGGAAGGTTAACTTGATGGGTGGCGGGCGGTCCTGAGCATAATGGGCGAGATGCGACGATACCTTTATCAACTTCTGCTCTATGACCAGCCCGGAGACCTTCGGGAAAGAGGTGGATAGAGGTGGCATGGAGTGGAGTTAATTGTCCATTGGCTGGGCGGGCCTGAGCGAAGAGTAAGGGCGAGTGTGCGACCGAAGCAGATATAAGGACCTGGGTCACCAAGAAGTACCACTGGGGGGAGCAGTGGGGAAAAAAAAGATAGTAGTTTGGGTGTGGGAAAGTGGAGGTTGAATTGATCAGGGCCTTATGGTGGGCGGGGCTTGGCCAAAGTGGGCGGAGTTTGCGACGAAAATTCATGACTTGGCTCCAAGAAGTCCCGGAGGCCGCGGAAAAGGTGGATGGAGGTGGGTGGAGGAGTGGAGGCCAGCTGTCAATGGTGGGCGGGGACTTGACCAAAGTGGGCGGAGTTTGCGACGAAAATTCATAACTCGGCTTCCAGAAGGTCCCGGAGAGCTGGGAAAAAAGAAGATATAGTTGGGTGGGAAAGTGGAGGTCAAAGGCCAGTGGTAGGCGGGGCTTGGCCAAAGTGGGCGGAGTTTGCGACGAAAATTCATGACTTGGCTCCAAGAAGTCCCTGAGGCCGCGGAAAAGGTGGATGGAGGTGGGTGGAGGAGTGGAGGCCAGCTGTCAATGGTGGGAGGGACATGACCAAAGTGGGCGGAGTTTGCGACGAAAATTCATAACTCGGCCCCAAGAAGTCCAGGAGGCTGGGAAAAAGGGAGTAGAGGTCGGCGAAGGAAAGGAGGTCAAATGCTATTAGTGGGTAGAGCACGCACCTAAGTGGGCGGAGTTTGCCAAAAGTGTCGTAATTTGGTTCCAAGAGGTCCCAGAGACC